CATTTCATGGCCCTGATAACCCTCCAATGGCTACAAAATACATGCCACAAGGAGTGCGTGGCGCGTTCTCCTTCTCCAAACCCACTGTGCGCTACCACACCGCAGCCACCGCTGGCTTCTTCCCACTCCTGTAACCCATGTGCTCTTTCGAGTCTCGGGCCCTTGGCATTTGCTGTAGTCTCCACCTGGAATGCCCCTCCCCCAGTTCTTCCCATGGCTGGCTCCTTTGAATCCTTCTGGTCTTGGCTAAACTGTCACCTCCTCCTGGAAGCCTTCTCTGACCATCCTTCCCTGTAGATTAGCTCAGTTATTCCCACCTTGTGTGTGTCTTTCCTGGCAGCTTAGCACTCATTACCATCTGGACATATTTTATGCCTGTTCTCCCACTGTGAGGACAGGGACCTCATCTTTTTTGCTCATGACTCCTTCCCCAGCGTCCCGTGCAGTGCCTGGTACACAGTAGCACCTCAACAGATACCTGGTGAATGAAAACGTCCGTAAAACGGGCATAACCGTTAACTGAGTACTTATTATGGGTCTGACTTATTATGGATAAGCCCTGGATCTGTTTATTTTTTAAACAGGTGAGTTGCATACAGGGCATAAGAATTTTAAAAGTGAAAAGAATATTCAGTGAAGTCTGGGCATGGTGGCTCACACTTGTAATCCCAGCATTTTGGAAGGCTGAAGGAGGGGCGGGGGTGGATCACTTGAAGTCAGGAGTTCAAGACCAGTCTGACCAACATGGTGAAATACCATCTCTACCGAAAAAATACAAAAATGAGCCAAGTGTGGTGGCGCGCACCTGTAATCCCAGCTACTCGGGAGGCTGAGGGAGGAGAACCACTTGAACCTGGGAGGCAGAGGTTGCAGTGAGCTAAGATCACACCACTTCTCCCCAGACTGGGTGACAAAGTGAAACTCCATCTCAGATAAGAACAAAAAGAATATTCGGTGAAAGAAAAACATCTCCCTCCCACTCCTGTTCCATAGTCCCTCAGTTTTGCTCCTATGTATGTGACCAACTTCCTTTTTGCCCTGTCAAAAATAAAGCCAGCTCCTTTGTTTTAATTTTTCCATGCAAATAGCCACATTTTACTTACACTATTCTACGCTTTGCTTTCCACATTTCCCACGTCTGGGAGGTTATATTCCATGTCATTGAGGGAGAAGACATGGTCCCATCTCCAGCACCTTCTTTATTTTCTTTCTGTTTTTCTTCTTGATGTTTTCATTTGATAAATATTTTCCCCCATGACTTTTTAATGAAAGTTTTGGCTGGGTATGATGGCTCACATCTGTAATCCCAGCACTTTGGGAGGCTGAGGCAGGCGGATCACGTGAGGTCAAGAGTTTGAGACCAGCCTGGCCAACAGGGTCAAACCCCATATCTACTAAAATACAAAAATTAGCCAGGCATGGTGGTGAACGTCTGTAATCCCAGCTACTTAGGAGGCTGAGTTAGAAGAATCTATTGAATCTGGGAGGCGGAGGTTGCAGTGAGTCGAAATTGCACCACTGCATTCCAGCATGAGCAACAGAGCTAGACTCTGTCTCAAAAAAAAAAAAAAAAGTTTTCAGGATACAATAAAGGTGAAGAAATTATACTATGAACTTCCTTATACCCAACAGGCACCACTTCAATTCTACAATTAATATTGGCTTCTATTCATCTTATCACATCTCTATTCATCTCTCTATCCGTCTATCCATCCACCTATTCATTGATTATATTTTTGGTACATTTCAACATACATTTCAAATGTAAATTGCAGATTTATACTTCCCCCTGTGTACTTCAGCATCCTTGCTCCTTCAACGCCTGGTGGTGTTTCATTAGGTAAACCATCATTTGTTTAAGCAGCTCCTTGCTAAGGGACACATGGGTTTTTAATCTGTTGATGTGAGTGCTTGTTACTCACTCACTGATTTCTGACGTACTCCTGCCATGTAGGAACCACCACCCCCATTTCATAGATGTGAGATCAAAGGTTAAGAGGAGCTGTATTGTAAAGGCACACAGCTAGGACGGGATTCAAAAGCAGGCTGCTTTCTTTTGTTTTTCAGCTCAAACCCTTGTTCTGTCTTCTTTGTGGCTCAGCCTCTTCTGCTGCTGCACTGTCTGCGGTGCTTTGAGATAGGGTTTAGCTTCAAGCCAAGGAGCCAGGGTTGGAACGGTTAGAGGAAGGGGAGGTAAAAGGACCCTTAAGGTCGGGCGCGGTGGCTCAAGCCTGTAATCCCAGCACTTTGGGAGGCCGAGGCGGGTGGATCACGAGGTCAAGAGATCGAGACCATCCTGGTCAACATGGTGAA